CAGGGCGGGGGGCGGCTCCAGGCGGGGCCCTGCCTCGCGCTCTCCGGCCAGGCGCGCCCCGCCGCCCCGGAGGATGTGGTGGTCGTCCACGGGCGGAGGACCCCCGTCGGGAAGGCCAAGCGCGGGGCGCTCAAGGTAGGGGAAAATAATTCTGTGTGTGTCTGTATATATATGTATGTGCAGACATATGTATCCAGGAGCTGCGGTGGCTCAAGAGGTTAAGACGCTGAACTGCAGGCTGTGGAAGGTCAGTAGTTCAGGAGTTCGAGACCCGGGTGCCGCATGATGGAGTGAGCTCCCGTCTCTGGTCCCAGCTCCTGCCAACCTAGCAGTTCGAAAGCAAGAAATTGCAAGTAGATAAATAGGGACCAGGAGCTGCGGTGATTCAGCAGTTCGAGACCCGGGTGCTGCATGACGGAGCCCGTCTCTAGTTCCAGCTCCTGCCAACCTGGCAGTTCGAAAGCAAGAAATTGCAAGTAGATAAATAGGGACCACTTCAGTGGGAAGGTTACTCCTCAGAGTATAGTCATGCCGGCCACATGACCACGGAAACGTCTTCGGATAGCGCTGGCTCTTCGGCTTGGAAACGGAGATGAGCACCGCAACCCTAGAGTCGGACTCGACTGAGCAAGGGAACTTCACCTTTACTTTATACATATGTGTATATATGTGTGTATGTATATATGTGTGTGTGGGTGTGTATATATTTATGTGTCTGTATATGTATGTATTTATATATGCGTGTGTGTATCTGTGGGTGTGTATATATGTATGTGTATATATGTGCATCTGTGTGTATATGTATATATATGTGTGTGTGGGTTGTGTATATATGTGTGTATATGTGTCTCAGAGCGGCTTGCAGTCTCCTTCCTTTGCCCCCCTCCCCAAAGAGAGGTGGGGGTGGCTTGGGTGTGTGTGTCAGGAGAGGGGCTCCTTCTCTTATTTCCATACGATGAGGAGTTCCAGTCTGCAGTTCCCTGGTTTAGGGTTCCTGTATTTATATAGTATTAAAAAAAATAACTGGGAGGGGAGAAGAACGGGGAAATTGCATGTAGGAAAAGAGCGTGATGTGTTTGGGGGGCTTAATTATGACTCATTTTACTCTCACCCTTGAAGACAGTGCTTTTGACAGGCTTCTTTTACAAACGTGGCCGGTAGCACCTCTCGGTCGGCCTTGCCTGGCGGAAATGTAGCTGGGCTAAGAGCTTCCCGGAGAGCTGTAGGCTGGAGAAGGGGAGGGGGGGGAGGGAGGGATAATGTGCACAAAATGCAACAAAAAAAGTGCTCCCCCCCTCTTCCAGGACACGACACCTGATGAGCTTCTGGCTGCTGTCATGACAGCTGTCCTGAAAGATGTCCAACTGAAGCCTGAGGACCTGGGAGATATCTGTGTGGGTGAGTGACCCCCTTTGAAATGCCAGACTTGTCTGTTTTGCTCTTTTCCCACCCCCTTCACACCAAATGGCCGAAACGGGAGCATTGTCTTTGAGTTCAGCCATTCCTTCAGGCGGGGAACAGGCTGTGATTTGATTTCTCCTTAAGAACATAAGAACATGAGAGATGCCAATGTTGGATCAGGCCAAAGGCCCATCCAGCCCAACACTCTGTGTCACACAGTGGCCAGAAATATGAGGTACCTGAAGGTTCATCTTTAACCAAAGTGGATTAATCTCTTTACACTTAGGGAATGTTCTTCAACCTGGCGCTGGTGCACTCACAGCAAGAATTGGACAGTTTCTAAGGTGAACTTTGCTCTTTGACGTGCTCGACTCCAGATCCTTGGCTCTGTTTCCCCCATTCCTGGGCCTCTGTTGGCGGCTGGCGCTCTGAGCCTCTCAACTTATGCTTAAAGTTGGAGCGCTGCCCAATTGGCCCCGTTTCTTTTGAACTTTGTCATGCATTGGGTGGTTGAGTAGGCGGTCTGGTGGTAATTAAAGATTGCAGAAGAATATGAAACAGGTGGAGGAAGAGATGGAACTTGATTCTTGGGCAAGGAACGTGTTAGGTAACTTCAGTAATCTTTCCAGGGTGGGGTGGCAGAAGACCAGAGGGGGGTGGTGTGCTGTTTATATAACCACTGAGCCTTGTGCTTGTGTTTTGCCTACTTGGTAGGATGGTGTAGGATCAGCTTTTTCTTTAATGAGAACTATTGCTGCATAACAAAAACTATCCCGAGCTGCATGGGGTAGGTTACCAAGTTTTGTTCTGTCCTAAAAACAACATGGGACTAGGAAGAGCACCAGAAATGAAGTTGTCAGCTAAGCAGCACAGAGGAAAATCCAATGAAATTAACATTTTAAAACACCTATAGCAGATCTTTTTGTAGTCTTTCCCTGGTTCTTCTAGGGGGAAGCGTGAGCTATTCTGCAGTAGCCAGTGATCTGTTCGTCCCAAATATACAAATTCCACTAGTAGAAAAAAATGTAAGCATTGAAAAATGATGTATGATTCAATAAACTTTGGAACAAAATACCTTGTTTTTACAATGTATTCTAATTAAAGCTTGTTCTGTTCGCTGTTATTAACTCAATAAAGTGCCTTCTGTCCTCTAAACTATCAATAGGCATTCAATAGCATATCTAACACCTATAGCAGGTCTTTTTTTAGTCTTTCCCTGGTTCCTCTAGGGGAAGCGTGAGCTATTCTGCAGTAGCAGAACTGTTGGTCCCAAATATACAAATTCCACTAGTAGAAAACACCATCAAAAATTGCCAAGCAATATATTAAACAATGATAAAGTTGGTGGTGTCACAACAACACCATTAGTGCATACTGTAACTGTAATAAGGCATAAGATACAACATTTCCTCCTTTGTAGGTAAGACATAAAGTCCATGTATGTAATCAGTGTAACTTCGCTTCTTACACTGTGAACCTGGTGGTCTGTTGAAATTGCTGAAATCAGGTTCCACTTACACAGCCGGCAAACTGAAGAAGTAGAAGGAAACGCATCTTCTAAGTATCTAGAACAGGCGTCTTTGCAAAGGCTGTTTGGACAATATTATGACTATGTGGACTCCTCTTATCAGGTTACTCTGATTACATGGCCTTTATGTCTTATCTTCAAAGGAGGAAATATTGTATCTTGTGGCTTATTATAGTTACAGTATGCACTAATGTCGTTGTTGTGACACCACCAACTTCATAACTGTTTGATATATTGTTTGGCAATGTTGATGGTGTTTTCTACTAGTGGAATTTGTATATTTGGGACTTCTTTGACGCTAGTCTTTCCCCCTTGTTTCGGATTAACTGAGTGAACTGTTGGTAGCTTGCAAGTTACCTGTCAGAGACCCCTGGTTTGCACCAGTTTGAATTGCCTGGAGCAGTGAACTGGGATAGCACCTCCTAGAGAGGGCTTGACAAATGTTCCTCCGCAGGTGATGGACGGTGCCCATGGGTTATGCAGAGTTATGCCTGTTGGGGGTTTAAGAGATTGATAATGTGGCATTTGGTGACTCGGGTCTTTGGAGAACGTGCGTACATTTATCCAGACCACAACTTGTGGTGGACTTGGAAAAGTTTTGAAAATGTATTCAGCCTAAAGATGTAAAATTTCCGGAAATTTTGAACCTCGGGAAAAACTCCGGATTTTTTTCGGGGGAAAATGGAAATTTTCAGAAAAATTGAAAAAAATGCTACATTAGCATTTCTTTTGTCTTTTCTTAGATTGAAAGTCATTCTGTTACTTTAGGAACATAAAATACGACTATGGACATTTTTACTTGGCATGAAATGATCACAACTAGCATATTAAAAATATAGTGTATTCAAACAGTTATTACAAACAGAATACCCACCCACATGCAAAAACAAAACTGAAACCTTTTTATTTTCTTCTGACAATAGCATCTCCTAAAAGAAAAAATGCATCTTGTTCTTGCATTGGAGAGTTCAGTTTTTAACCTAGGACTTGCTTGTCCTCAGTGCACAGAAATTAGATCAATCTGATACCATACATATATATTTTAGAAATGATTTGGAAAATATTTGAACACCTTGTCTTAAAATATTTTATTCGTCATGTTAAAATAAAACGTTCCATAATCATTTTTTTTTCCTTTTCTTTTTTCAATTTTTCGGGAAAAAACAAAAAAGGCTTCAGGGAAAAAAACGGAAAAAACCCCGTTTCCCCCCCGAATTTTTCCAGTTTTTTCCCGGGCCTTCACATCTCTAATTGAGCCAGAATGTGATGACCAAAGAATCATGGTCATAGTAGCGTGCTGGAAGGCTAGTTTATTCATTTGTTTCTTTTTCACATTTATATCCTGCCCATCCTGTAAACAGGCTCGGGGGAGGTTACATCATTTCAATAAATGCCATAAAATTTAAAACACATTATTCACATATAAAATCAGTAGTCGCAGCTAGCCGTAGGGAGAATCCGGCCCGCTGATGTAGATAGATCTGGCCGGTTATCAGTGGGTGGGTGACAGCAACCCCGGGGCGGCCATGTATGACGCCCGCTGCCTCAGCCAAAGGACTGGCGGAACAGCTCCGTCTTGCAGGCCCTGTGGAATTGGGGAAGATCCCGCAGGGCCCCGATCTCGATAGGGAGCTTGTTCTACCGAGCAGGGGCCAGGGGGTTGACTGTCAGTTCACTGCTAAAATCCCTCCCCTTTCCTAAGAGGTGCTATAGCAATGGCTGGTTTACAGGGCTTTCTGTGTAGCCAAAACAGCGTGCAGTCGTCTCGACTTCAGGTATAAGCACAACTACTCGTTAATAACAAGTAGCCTGTGTATCTCAGTAAGAGGAATTCTTTGAACGAGATCTTTGGCACAATAAATTCCTAAAATTACCCAATTAGATGCTGAACTGGCAACCCTGAGGTGGCTTTTGGGCTCTGTACCAGCTCTGGAGCTGCGGTGGCTCAAGTGGTTAAGACGCTGAACTGCAGGCTGTGGAAGGTCGGTAGTTCAGCAGTTCGAGACCCGGGTGCCGCATGGTGGAGTGAGCTCCCATCTCTAGTTCCAGCTCCTGCCCACCTAGCAGTTCGAAAGCAAGAAATTGCAAGTAGATAAATGGGTACCACTTCGGTGGGAAGGGAACAGTGTTCCGTGCGCCTTGGTGTTTAGTCATGTTGGCCACATGACCACGGAAACGTCTTTGGACAGCGCTGGCTCTTCGGCTTTGAAAAGGAGATGAGCACCGCAACCCTAGAGTCGGATTCGACTGGCTTTCGAGCAAGGGAAACCTTTACCTTTTCTGACAATCTGTTTTTTCTTTCAGTGGCATTCCGGCGACCGTTCCATTATCCTGTGTCAACAGGCAGTGTTCCTCTGGATTGCAAGCAGTGATCAATATAGCCGGTTAAGTACGAGACCAGTATCTGTAATTCCAGTCTGTTTCTGTGCCCAAAAAGAATCGGTCACTTCAGTGTTATAATGGGTTAGGTCCAACCAGCTGTTGGAACCAGGTAGGAAGGCGTTCCCGCTGGCCACCCAGAAGGCCATGCTGGGACCTGCAGGAACAAAATCCATGTGTGACGGGGGTGTAACAAGTGTGGAGACTGGGCAAGGCTTATCAGGATCCATCCCCCTATTCTGTAATATGGAAATTGCATCCGGTTCTGCATGGTTTGGGAAGCTGGTGAGGTGGCCGAAGACGGGCAGCTAGGCTGAGTTTAAAGAACTAGAACTGCTGGCAAAGGAGGAACAACCAGTAGTGATGCAAGTGACACAAGCTGTTCCACCCGTACTCCAGAATGTGACTTGCAGGCATTACTTCTACGTTTCTAAATGTGGGTGAATTTGACTGTGTGAAGACCGTCTTTTTAAAAATCAGTAATATTTCAGATTATCAGACATCCATTTTTATAGTAGGGATGGAGGTTATTGTAAAACTCTGCATTTGTGGGATCCCAGTAGACAGAAGGCATTGTTTTTAAAAATCTTGATCAAAACTGGTGACATTGTGGAGTGGAGATTAGAACTGCCCTAGCAGTCCAGCACTAGCCATTTATTTGTGCCCGTTGATGGATGGAGCTGGAAATACTTGGGTCAGTCTTCCCCCCCCGAATAGATCCAGGGATAATTCTTTAGAAGAGGTAGAATCATAGAGTTGGAAGGGGCCATACAGACCATCTAACCCAGTGCAGGGCCAGCCTAAAGCATCCCTGACAAATATTCATCCAGCCAAAGGAATCAAATCTACAGAGCTACATTCCTTCCTGAAAATTCTCTTAGAAAAGGAATAAGCTGCTTTCCTTCCCATGAAACTGAGTCCTCTCTCACTGAATTGTGACCCATCAGTGAGGGGGGAAATCCACTCTAGATTGACAACCCTCACTTTGCTCTTTCAATTGCAGGAGGCATCCGAAATGGGTCTTACGACATTGGCTTGGCTTGTGGGTGAGTTTGATTTATTTTGGCGCGTTCCCATTTTGTGCTGTGTCTGGCTGTTTCCTCTACCCTTCTCCCTCATTGATAATGGTTTCTGCAGTAAAACTGTGGGACTTTCTTCTGCGTGAGGTTTCATTTCTGGCAGTTTGTAATCGTACAAGTGGAAGACCCGCAGGGACTCGCGGGAGGCATCTCATTTCCCCCCTCCTCACTATATCCCCTTTCACTTTTCTGAAAGCCCCCATAACTTCTCCTCTTTTCTGCTTCCTTTTCTCCTTTCCACTCAGCAGCCAATGGTCTTAATCCCCCCCACCCCCGACTTCAGCTTTCCTTCGTTCCCTCCCCTGGCAGCCTATTTCCAAGAAGAAGGCTCAGTTGCTCAGTGGCAAACTGATCTGGGTGCATTTGCGCTGGTGTGTGTGTGTGTGTGTGCGCCTCACTTTCTTCTGCATCCCGCCCCCCTCTTTCCCCCATCCAATC